ACACACACACACACACACACACACACACAGAGAGAGAGAGGCACACACACACAGACACACACAGATACACACAGACACACACACAGACACACACAGACACACACACACACACACACAGACACACACACACGAACTGAACTGGACACTTTGACACATGCTTGTAATCCCAGACTGGAAAGGTAGAAACAGGCAGATTCCAGGGGCTCTTCAGCCAGCCTATCTGGTGAGCAACAGACCCATAAGAGACCCTGTCTCCATAGGCAGGGTGGATGGCACCTGAGAAACAGCAGCCAGAGTTGTCCTCCACACATGAACACACGCCTCTGCGTTCTGGAATGCTGGAATTAAAAGCAAGCTACAAATGATTTTTAACAACTTTCAAAATAATATATGGCTTGTCTTGTGACTATCGCCTCTCTCACAGGTGAACTTTGGTGTGTACCTGATGCACGCGTCCTTGGATTTATCCTCTCCCTGCTTCCTGTCGGTGGGATCTGAGGTGCTCCCTGTGTTGAAGGAGCGTGGAGTGTCCTGACTCACCTGCTTCCCAGAAGCACCCGGGCGTTATCATCTAACATTTCTTCCCCAGAGAGCATTAAAGTTTCTCTTCACATCGCTGTCTACGTTATTGAGACCTGTGACTTGGTTCAGTAGAACTTAGTCTTAGAATGGGCACTGCTCTTTGCCTTTGGAGGCCCAACCCAGTCTTAACCCGGGCCCCTGACCTCTCTGCTCACCAGCACTGACCTGCAGTGCCCACACCTAAAAAGGTGTCCTCGCATTTCACATATCCAAACAATGAGCAGTCATAGACAGTGAAATTTTATGATACTCAGGAGATGAAGTTTTTGTTTGTTTGTTTTTTACTTGTGTGGGAGTTGATTCTCTCTACCTTGTGGGTCCTGGAGATCAACCACTGGTGTCAGGCTTGGGGGCAAGTGCCTTTACCTGCTGAGGCATTTTCATGGCCCCATTTTTTTAAAATAGTTTTATTGGGCTAGTGCACACCTTTAATCCCAGCACTTGGGGAGGCAGAGGCAGGCAGATGTCTGTGAGTTTGAGGTCAGCCTGGTTTACAGAGCAAGTTCTGGCCAGTCAAGGCTACACAGAGAAACCCCAAACCACAGAGTTTATTGGGTACATTGCAATAGGTCAGCAGGCTGGCAGCAACTAGAGCGTCTGCCTGGCTCTCATTCTGTATATTTCTGGAGGCAGGGGTAGAGACAGGGCTTTCCGTCTCTCAGGCTGGCTTGATTTTCCTGCCCTCACCTCCCAAGAGAAAGCACCACCATATCATATTCAGCTTGATTTATGTATTTTGAAGGTATTTAATTATCTGTCTATTTATTTTCTTATGTATGTGTTCACACTTAAGATTTCTGTTTTTAAAAAATTTTTATTTTTAGGTAGGGTTTCACTGTGTCTCTCTGGCTGGCCTAGAACTTACCTGGTTCTGAACTCATGGGGATCTGCCTGCCTCTGCTTCCCAAGTGCTAGAATTGTGCCCACACACCTGATTTCTACATCTTTCTGATAGACTGGGTCTTTTCATTTATACTATTTTTTTTGTCCCGAGTATATTTTTCAGCTGTCTAATATGTCATGCTGATATTTCTCAGCCATTTATGAGAACTATGAGCCTCCTCTCATGAATAAATACAAATCTTGAAATTCTTGAAAAAGTATCAAACTTAGTGTAGCAATTTCTCAAAAGATTATGTATCACGGCTGTGTTGGATTTATTTCAGGTGCACAATGGTGTTTTAATTTTATAAAACGGAGTGGGTTTATACGTCACACAAGCCTGCCCAGCTAGAGAGTGTGCCTCTGCACATCCCAAGCTCTCTTCTCCACATTGTCACACTTGCTAATGTTTGTGAAAGATTAGCGTGAGCGAGCACTCTGCTGCACGCCTCACAGATCCCAAACACCCTATGGAGATAGGCAGAGAGGCAAAATAACCCCATGAAGATGGGAGTAGAACCTAGGGAGATCAAACTGGAGCTGGTACCTAAACTGCTGACTCATGATTGTGGGCCACGTTCTAAGCACTTCCGACGGAGAGATCCATGTGATCCTCTTGAAGACAATTATGAGGAGTTTACTAGTCTCATCTTTATAGATGAGAAAACTGAGGCCAAGGTCAGTTGCTTGATCTAGGTTTTCCAACTGGTGATAGATCTGAGATCTGAGAGGCTGAGGTCTGAGGGGCTGAGGTCTTAGGTTCTGGCGTCTGAGGGGCTGAGGTCTAGAGTTTACTCTCTGATCACTATGATCACTGTTGTTTACTAGCAGGGGGCTTTGCTTCAGAGGTACAGGAAGCATGATAAGAACAAATACCCAAGAGCAGTTTTCTCCCCAGTTGCACCTCCCATTGCGTTAACAGAACAAGCTCAGAGGGTTTGGTGGTTCCTCTCAGCCAATCACAACATGATACAACTTTGATCAGCAGTCTAAGCACAGGGGTACATCGAGGAGACATGAGATTAGCCTGGGGGAAGCCAAGGTAAGTCCCATGGAGATGGATAGGACAGTGCCATCACCTGCCCTCTTTGACCTACAACTGCCTCTGGTCTCAGGGGCCTTCAAGCATGTCCCAAAGTGGCATTTGCTGTTTGGAGTGACAGTGCCTTGATTAGATGATGCCATCAGGATCAATTTTGCCCTCTTTTCCCACCTTTCCTTCATTCATGGCGAAGTGGTTGTGGTTTAATTATCCACTTGTCAGGACCTAGGGTCGCCTTGGAGACAACCTCAGGACACACCTGCGACGGATGATCAAGGTTAACGGGTTTGTATATATGCCAAATATGGGCGGCACCACCTCATAGGCTGGGGTCCTGGACTAAACAAAAAAGGAGAAAGTGAACTGAGCACCAATATTCATCTCTGCCTCCTGATTGGGTGCAATGTGATCAGCTGCCTCACGCTCCTGCCACCATGTTCTTTTTCTAAGAAATGCTCTTCTTAGATTGTCTTTGTCATGTATTTTGTCTCAGCAACCAGACAGGTAGCTGTGGTATATTCTTTTACACTGTGTGAGTACGTGCCACTCTGATTGGTTTGATAGAAAAGCTAAACAGCCAGTAGCGAGGCAGGATTTTGGGGGCAGAGAAAATGCTGGGAAGGTGAAGGATGGATCTGAAGGTGGCCAGCCAGACTCAGAAGAAGCAGGATGGACAGTACTTAGATGAGGGAAGTGTGCCTTGGGGTGGCACATAGATTAATAGAAAGGGATTTCTTTAAGTTATAAGAGCCAACTAACAACAAGCCTAAGCTATCGGCCAACCTTTCATAATTAATAAAGAGTCTCCGTGTGGTTATTTGCGAGTGAATTCCTGTCAGCCAATCAAGAGTGGTTTTGTGGTCCCTGACGAAAAATTCTACCTATAAGTAGGTAAAGGAGAGGTGTGTGTGTGTGGGTTTACCAGAAATAGAAAGTATAGGGTTTTAGGCATCTAGAGGACCTGGTGACCCATTGTGGGTATTGAAATCTTGGTTGGGACTTGAGGACCCTCAGGGACCTGGCAACAGCCCAGACCTCCTTGGTATGTATTGTTTCAAGCACCTAGGATTTCTGAGAAAGGCTGGGCCTCTCCCATCACAGGGCCAGCTCAGGGAGCATGTGGAAACCGCAGCCTCTTACATCCTCTTTAATCCTCTCTCTTGTGCTAGCAGAATTAACATCTACGTATTTCACTTTACAAATCCCTAAATTAAAATCGTGGCAAATAATACAGTCTCTGAATAAGTGAGAGAAGATCTCTAAATCTCACCTGAAAACGGAGGAAAACCACAGTTCTTACTGTGGGACAGGGCAGCATCTCAAAATGCCTAAGTTCAGTCATGTCTACCGCCCGGTGGCAGCATTAGGTAAGCACAGAGTTTTTTCTTTCAGGATTCTGAGCTCTAGTTGAAATCGGGTCAGCATTTCTCAACAGCTGAGTGCTGGTGAGGGTTTTTGGATTCTGAGGAAAACTGTATCACTGGTGGTGGCTCCTTCAGAAGGGACGTCCTAACTGATTGCATCTGCACCTTACTCTTCAGTCTGCTTAGCACAGACCAGTCGTTTGGGGGCTGTTTTTCTTAGATTTGTGCTTTGTTTTTCCTTCAAGGATGTAGCTTTGTTTTGTCTAGCCCGCTCCTCTCTACCGCTTCCCTTTCTGTGGATGTATGTGTGCCTCCATACATGTGCTCAAACATGTGTCTATATAGAGGGGTGTGTGCCTCCAGGACTGTATGTCACATAGTTAACCGTTGAAGCGATGACTGAAGCAGTTCCTCACCTTGGGGTCCTCAGGGCTCTTTGCAAATTTATGGCTTCGCTTTTACCTCTGCAGGGGCAGAATCTAGTACCCAGTTTCTGAGTCAGGGGTGGTCCTGAACTGACTTGGTGTCCAACCCCTTCCAAAGCTGTCAAATGGACACTGTGATTTTGTTGTTGTTATTACATGCATTCATATATTTTTTGTGTGTGCCTGAGTGTGTGGAACTCAGGACTACTTGTGGGAGGTGATTCTCTTCTGACGCCGTGTGGGTTATAGGGAAACAACTCAGGTAGTAAGGCTTGGCAAGCAACTTTACCTGCTGAGCTATATCGTTAGCTGCAGCTCAAATCCTGAACCCAGGGATCAAGAGACTGAACAGCGCCTGCTCTTGGTTTTTAGCATCTGCCTCAGTGTGGAGTTCATGGGAGGAACACTGATCTAGCCTTCCATGACAAACCACATGGAATAGAGGTGCACTGTTCACAGAACTGCTCCACATCAACCAGCTGACAGCCGGCAGACACCCCTAGACGTGATGGTAGATGATTTTAATCGCTTCATTTCAGCGATGCTCTCAGATGACAGCCACAGCAGGAGGGACACCGCTGAGGCCAGCCGAAATGATGACCTAGAGGGCGAACGGAATGGTTTATTACCTGACACCTTTCAACTCAAAACATTTGTGTCTTGGAAGTACAGAACCGCCGCAGTCAAAAGCCAAGCTAAGCGTGGTGGCCGAATGAGAACTGTTGCCTCAAGGTTCATGTATTTGAGTGCTGGGCCCCAGTTAGTGCTGCCTGAAGGGGTTCTACAACCCTTAGCAGGTGCCTTGTTGCAGGATGCACGGTGCCGAGTGGGCTTTGAGAGTTTACAGCCCCATTCCATTTCCCTCTCATTTTTCCTGTGCATGGAAATTCATAGGAATTTTCCACAGTGAGGAAAACCATGGTTCTTATAAAATTAAAGGTGATCACTTAGCTTCCTGCTCCTGCTGCCTGTTGCCATGGCTCTCTTGCTCACCCTCCCTCTGAAACCAGGTGCCAAAATAAACTTGTCTTTCCTGAAGTCACTTTTGGTGACGGTGTTTCATTGCAGCAACAGAAAGTCACCCTACACCGAGTGACACAGATTTGAGAAGCAGGCAGCACCCTGAGGCCGGGAAAGTGGCCAAGAAGTCTCTGCCTGAGGGTACACACAGGCGAGGAGACCTTCCAGGTGAAGCACATCCAGAACCCTTGACTTAAAAAGGCAGGCTACATGACCATTATGTATTCAGTAGTCAGTGCTGAGCCCGAGGCAGACTCCCATCAGCACACACTTCTGCTTAGGCAGTGAGCCGGAGACA